TGAAAAGTAACGATCATTCATAAGAAACATATGAGTACTTAGCTCCTTTACAACTTTGTCTTAGTTTTGTTTAAGAAAAAAAAGGGGAATAATTAGTATTATTACAAAAAATTACAAAATAGGCTGTTCTTGGTGCTACTTGCTTTATCAGTTTTTTTAACATCAGTATTAACATCACCTATGAAATTGGTTTCTTATACCACTTTCTCTATACATAAACCATAAGTTATATAGTTTGTCCAATATAACGTCTAAATGACTCAATAGAGGTGTGTTTAGAACATGGTAGATATACTGAAATACGAACATATATAATCAGGTTGTATTTGTACCTGTATATACCAATTAATACGATCATCGTCTAAAGGCAATTTGGTGTTACACGCATATCGAGTCTTTTTATTGCCAAAGAATAGCTACACCACCTTTACCTATTTTTCGATTACTAGGTTTAATGCTAAACTATAGTCTGAAATTGCATGACATCTATATTCACTAGTCAAAGAATTTAGAAAGAATAAAATTATGTTCATAAAGCCAATGTTCTGACAGTCCACATATATCTATATTATAGTTTAAACAATGTATCACAGAGATAAGATGCAGACGACATTACGCCAGTAGCGTTCCAAGTCATTATTTTAAGATCAATATTAGAGCTCATCATAAGTCTTCGTCGGGTGTTAACGTGCTATACTTATTAAAGTCACTAAATGGGGGCCAATCAATCGTTATCGGTTTCGCGCCAATCACCATATCCTGATGTCGTCTGCTTCGGTGCGTTAAAGCCTCGTTCCCATATAGATTCTTTGTTGTTGGATTTCTGCACGTGACATCCAAGTTTCACAAGTTATACCTTTTGGCCAAAAATCCTGGATCTAAGACTAAATCCGCGTTTTCATTGGCTTCCACATTTAAACGGACAATAACTTTATTTCTCGATTTCCTCATTGGGAATTTACGAATCATTGTCACCGTTGCGCCCCTGCTTGTCACAAAAATTAGTCAAGTATTTAATATGACACGATTTATTAAATCCACCAACAAAATACCTTTTCGTCGGACTTGTTTGGTGCCAAATCAAAAGTATCATATTGTCGCAAGTCTCGCTCTTTGCGAGATGTAACACGCACAGGTATTGCGGTCATTTTAGGAAACGTTGAAGCACGATTTGTACACAGTTGACTTTTGCTCTGCACGTTTTTTTTCTATATCCGCCGTGATCGTACTTACTATTGTTAATGATTGCTGGTCTTAATGAAGGCAACATTTTGGTTTGAAGATTTATTATTAGTATCTTTCTCTGCACTATAATCACTTTGTCGGAGGGTTACTGTACGAGCGGGGTTTTGGGCTGTTTCTGCTGTGGGTAATTAGAAATAGATTGTTTCTCTTTTTGATTTAGAATATACTTCAAGTTGAGAGACCACAGACTTCAGGCGCGGTTACATTGTCACCAACATTTGTGGTTTTTGCTGACGATTCGCTTGAGATCTCAGTGCTGTGTCGTTTGAATTGATATAAACAGATGCCTGGTATAATTTTCATGAGCACGATTTGGACTATGGTAATCATGCACACTACATTTGGCAATCTTAACTACACCAGGACTATCAACAAAATCTTCAAGTGCGCTTATTCTCTCAATAACACTGTCAAGACTACTGTTGAGAGAAGCGTTAGACGACACGTGGTCAAAATTTGACAGACTAGTGGCTATACACTCAGCAATAGACTTTTGGCAATTTGTTATATCCTGTCGTATGCCTTGCACTGTGTCAAAAAATACAAGTTACTTGTTCTTTTCGAAGCTTATCATTAGCATTTATTTTTGTTTTTTTATCATAGGGTTCTTGTAGGTTTTAAAACTTAAATTTTTTTAGCAATTCCACCCCTATTTTTCACTACGCTATTGGGAATTTTACTGTTTTAAACGGGGTAAGGCTGGGGGCATCCCCGCTTTTTAGCCTTTACCCCAAAAATTTTTTAATTAGTCCAAAAACTTCCCCATCCATGCTATAAACAAAAGTTGAAATTTTATTTCAAGGTTTTTCTGAGACGGGCCCTTTCCCCCTTTTAGACCCCCCTTTTCATTTAGAATTTTAAGTCAAAAGGGAAAAACTTCATTTTATTTTAAAAGTTCGAATAATTTTGCGCCTTTTTGTTTTTTTAAATCTTTTTCCCCTAGAGGCGTAATTTGGGAAAATGACACAAAAGTTTTTTTTCCCTTCCCCGAAACTAAACCAAACCCGTTATTTTTATTTAAAAAAAGCATCACTGTTATCCTCGTTTAAAATAGAATTCATTAAAGGGGTGCTTCACGTTTTACTTTCATCTTTTTGTTTGACGCACCAATTACCGGAATTTAACCTCGGTATTATATTTACTTCATTTGGTTCGGGTTCCCATTTTGGATTAAACCCTCATACTGATTTTTCTTTATCTGGGCACCAATACCGTTATCCCCCAGGCAATATGGGAAAAATTTCCAGGGTTGACCCCTCTCTATATAAAAATTTTACAATGTTACATTAATTCTTGAAATTTCCCGGAAAATTTTTTTGAAAACAAGAAAATTCCCTTAAAAAAAACCAAAAAACCAAATTTTAATTCTCCATCCCCAAATTTTGTATAATCATATTTCAATTCTAACTTTATAGAAGCAAAGTCTTGAATAAAAATTTTAAACCATAGACAATATTTAAAAAAACTCCCCACATTTTACTTGCTTTAAAATTTTAAATCCGTATGCAGTTTTATTAATTAAAAATGGAGTATGAAAAATTTAAAAAAAATGGGTACTTTTTTGTATATTAAATTTTCTATTTCCTATTGTTTTTTTGTTCAGCATTTGAACTATACATTTTTCAGGCCCCCTACATTACATTTTTATAAATTGTCCACAGTTGTGTTTTTCTTATGTTTTTGAATTTTATACTTTGTTTAGAGTTGACTTTTTGGGTTCAAAATACAAATACTGAATACCACAAAAATGTTATCTGCATTGTTCATGTTTTACTTTTCTTTTAAATTTTCTAATTATATGAAATTCTTTTTTATTTCAATTTTTTTTTAATTAAACACCGTATTAACTACGAGTTACTTCCCTTTGATTTACGTTAATAAGACAGCGTGACACAAAAAGAGTTTACCTATACAATTTCACCGTTAGTTGTTATACCGTGTGTACAATATCGATCGATTTTATTGATAAACTTTACCGTACATTACAAAATTGACTGCCATATTTTGTTTACATTTCGTTTAGATCTGGTTATAACGTGACTCTGAAATATCAGTGGTTATGTATAATATGACATTGTTAAATAAAATATTTTAACATTTCTGGATTTTCTGGGATTAAAGTGTTATCAGGTTATAGCTCCACAATACATCGATCTTCATAAAATACCTGACAGAATGGTAAGTATCTTTTTTACTTCAGATTTGTCAAAGTTGGTTTTAAATTCAGAATTAATTTTAGCGTTTTATTTATCTGAAATGTAAGTAGGTTGGGGGAGACATGCTTGAATTTTCGCCTTTTACAATTTATTTCCTTGCCAAAAAGGTCAAAATGTTTTATTTGAAGTCAGTCTGATAGCATATGATAAAAGGGTCATGCTGTCACGTGTCATTGAATTTAATATATACGGTCACACTTATTTATGCCATTTTAGAACCTAGATCCAACCAGATATTTTAATTACAGAGATATTAAGCTCATACAAAAAAACATGTCGAAGAAATAATATAAAAGAAATCGATTCATGAAAAAAATACAAAATGACAGGTGAAATTTGTTGAGGCTTGGAGCGTGCATAGACCTGCACGTGCAAATTTACTCATCCGGATCGGTGTGTAACCGTCTGCGATGCAATTTCAACTAAATTATTTATGGTGTCAATAAATCGGCTTACTTTGTCATTACCCGTCCCCACGGACCTTATTAAAAAAAGCATCTGGTTGAAAAAAATGTTTTGTTCCTTATTACACCTGCGCTTATTTTGGCCATAAATTATACGGAAGGTACCTAACATTGATGCAGAAGCTTTATATTCTACATTTCATTCGTGTATAGACTTGCATAACAATGTTTCAATAAATCCAATAAAACTTTTCCAATAAATCGCATTATATAGGAAATTTTAAACAAATTTTACACTATGAAGTTGTTAGTTTATTCGTTATTAAAACTACCCGTAACGTAAAGATTCATGAATTACTTATGATATGCATTGATAAGATATCCAAAAAGATTTTTGATAATTTGTCTAAAGCGTCGTTATTAGATTTCTTTGCTTTATTTGTAAAGACCAAGTAAACACAGCTTTAGTTAAGAAATAAATTAGGGTATGTTTTTTCTTTGGTGGTACAATACATTTTTTATGAATAGTTGTATTTAGTAATAAGACCTTTCGGTATTTTCGTACAAAAAAGCTATCGTTATATACTTTATTTTGAACGTAGGCCTTGACACTCATTCTGAAAGGAGGTCATTTTAGGTCTTTATCAAAGAATCATTATGGTTAAATGTCATTTTATAGAATGGTGGACGTGAAACATTAAGAACATGTTTACATTAGTGTAAAATGTTTAATTTCCAATTTTTTCTGGTCGACCAAAGCACTTAAGCTATATTTCAAGCTCAGAAACAAATTTAGAAAGAGCAAACAAGATTGTTATAATCTCAAATAATGGTTATAATGTCAAATAATGGTTTAAGAGAATATCAATGTAAACATATAAAATACTAATTCACTATAACTGTACTTGTTGCCAAAAAGTAACAGACGGAAAAGATGATTCAAGTAATTTGCCAATGAGTAACATTTTGGATGCTATAAAGGTACACCAAAATAAAAAGCTTTTGGGAAATGGAAATAGAAGCATTTCTGAGGCACAATGGGCCTTTAAAATATCCGTATTCCAAAGTGGTATAATTTTGTTATCGTTTTATAAATTAACAAAAGAAATTGATGCAAAGGAGCAATTATCTACGGAAGAGCATTAGTGCCAGGTGTATGTTTTTTATTAACTCGAAATTTCGAGTTACTAACTCGAAATTTCGAGTTACTTATCTCGAAATTTCGAGTTACTAACTCGAAATTTCGACTTACTAACTCGAAATTTCGACTTACTAACTCGAAATTTCGAGTTACTTATCTCGAAATTTCGACTTACTAACTCGAAATTTCGACTTATTTACGTTACAAGAATGGCCAAAGTTATTTTAGATGGTATAAGATATAGTAGGCAGTGCCTTTGAACGATAGAGATGGAGAAACGGGTGCCTGGACAAAAACTATTGAAATTTAACTTAAACTTAGTAATGGCATGTACACACCCGACATAAAAAATACAAGGCTTCCTTTAATTTGTACGTTCAGGCGTTCTTCAGACGTTGTATTGTATCCCATCTGTTCGAACTTATCTTTTCACTAATCATATTCTTCTCATCCCTGTAAAAAAACCGATCCTATACTTTACGTGTGGGACATCTGAGGAAAGTATCGCGGCGTGGCCAAAATAGGGCGTGCTGAGGCCTTTGTCAAAATTGTTGGACTGACTATATTTCTTGTAAAATCGGATGCTTTTATATTGTTCCCAACATATATATTATAACAAGTATCACTTTTATCAACTTTTATCAACACAATATGAATCAAAGTATTAGTAAATAATGAATAATGTTACAAAAACATTATAAGTATAAAGAAACGTGACAGACTAACTGGCCTATACACGTCATTTAGAACTTTTTTAACACATGATATTGCACAGTTTATAATAGGGTGGGTTTTAGACTTGTTGTTTCTCCATATGATGGCTGTATGTGTGCTTAAGAAAAAGAAACACCCTGTTAACAGGGAAATGTGGAAAGTGTGATTTTACACCCCCCCCCCCCCCTCCACAAAAAAGCAAAGGATATGTTCAGTATGTGTGGACAATTTGACCCTATAAAATTGTTCTGTTAAATAAATGTTAAAGGTGCTCTGTCAATGTGCAACAACTACACACGAAAGAAAGTATCTTGAATTCAAGCCTTGCTTTCACCGGCAACCAATGAAAGTCGTGCAATGTAAGTCGAAATTTCGAGTTACTAAGTCGAAATTTCGAGTTAGTATGTCGAAATTTCGAGTTACTAAGTCGAAATTTCGAGTTACTAAGTCGAAATTTCGAGTTAGTATGTCGAAATTTCGAGATAAGTAACTCGAAATTTCGAGTTAGTTAGTCGAAATTTCGAGTTAGTAAGTCGAAATTTCGAGTTAGTAAGTCGAAATTTCGAGATAAGTAACTCGAAATTTCGAATAAGTAAGTCGAAATTTCGAGATAAGTAACTCGAAATTTCGAGTTAGTAAGTCGAAATTTCGAGTTAGTAACTCGAAATTTCGAGTTAATAAAAAACATACACCTGGCACTAATGCTCTTCCGTAATTATCAGTATTTTTCAATATAAATAAAATAAAGTATATTTTTAAAAGCGGACGAACATAAAAAAGCAACAAAAAACAACAACAACCAAAAACTCTTAGAATCTTAGAAGACAGGAAAATTGTGATTTGGTGTACAAATTATTCAATAGTTACTATCAAAAGAGACTTTGACAAAAAACGTGTGACAGAAACCTGTTGATTTATTGTCAGTGAAAAACTTTGATGTCGATCAATCGATCGAAAGTGCTAATGATTTTGAGTTTTAGACGATCGCAGAAGCGGAAAGATATTCAAAGAAGCGGAAAGCGATTACCAGCAGCGGAAATAATATATCGCTCTTTCCGCCGTCTTCAATCATTAAAGCTGTTTGCCGATGTTGCAAGAATAGAATTTGTGTTTCAACTAAGACCTTCATTTTTCAACTCCCTAGTTTTTTCCTCTCATTTTCGTTATAACATGTACGTATTTTCGTATTAGGCCTACCATTAATATGGTACCAATTTTTTTGCAGTAAAATGAATAACATTTGTTTGGACTGTGTATGTAGTCTTTGCTTAATGAGGGTCCATCCGCCCGTGAAGGCACTAAATGCAGCTTTCACTGTGGAGTACGGACCCCTGACATGTCACCAGCCATGTCCTGCAAGAGTTGATTTGAAGCTACACAAAGTGGTAATGATTTACCTCCGTGCAATTTTCACAGAGTATAAACCAAAGAAATTAATTTTGAGCTGGAAGTAGGTCATTATACAGCGGCCAATGAGCGTCTAAACGTACAGTAACATGTGACAATAATCAAGGATGTTAGCATTAATGCCAGCAAATGGCGGTCTAATCGTACTAGGGACTCACACACCCTAGTACCATTTTTCGCCGTCCCCCGCCCACAACCTCCTCGGCTTTAGTCAAGACCCGGCAATTGGTTCGTAGACTGTGATAAAAGCTTAACTCACCAACGCCTGGTGGTGGTAGTTAGGTCTCCAGGACTTGTCCTTCATGTACAAAAACGGCTTCGTGAAGCTAAGTTCCGCCAAGCTCAAATAATTCTGCCTATCCACGACGTATATTAAGGGTTTCAACTACACAGATTAGGAGCTATTTCTATCATACCCTTTCTTTATCGGTTCTTTTCTGTGTTGTTGTTTTTGTAACTGTCACAGGGTGAGAAAAGTGTGCAGCCTGACAGGGAACTTGAATACCGTTCTTCGGCTCTACCGACTGAGCTATCCGGCCGCTTACGCATCTTCTCCCCCAAAAAAGTATAACAAAGATTCGAACACTTACATCCATTGGCTTTTTTTTTTGGAAAGGGATTTTCCATATTCTCCTGGCAAAATTTAACACTTTAACACATGCAACAGTTTTAAATGCAAGCCCCTTTTACACTAAATGATTACATTTTCGCTGCACAGTTTGAAATACAAGTTTCTACATTTCCCGCAGAAAACATAGATTTCAAACATGCAAAATAATTAGAAATAAGCACTTTATCTTACTTAAGGAAAAGTAATAAAGAAAAAGTTGACCCCATCTGGGGTTTGAGCCCACAAACCTATGTGACATTAAATCTAGGGAAAATTATTACAAAAAAATGTAATGTAGTACATGTATTACTGTTTTTAAATTAATTGAATTTTGAGTACATGTATACGTTTAAACTTTGTTACATATACTGTACTGTTTACATCAACATATTCCAACACGTGGTATTACTCTTAATTGCACGAAAGGAAGCATTGATGAACATGAGCATTCTTTCAAGGTTGACAAAAAAGCTGCAATTCAGGAGCCACACTTGGAAATGTCAGGCCATTATGAAGCCACAAAATGGGTATTCCACCCTCTTTTATTGCTGAATATTCAAGCAGGTTTTGCATACCCATTTCTTTTCTTCAACATACGTATTTATAGCTTGTTTGGTACAAATTCATAAATTCCTGAGAAACACTTTCTATTTTATGAAACCTGTTGTACAGAATGATGAAAAAAGTTTACCTTAAGAGCTGAGAGGCATGTAATAATTTCTTTTTGCATCAAAGCAAACGAAAATCAAAATCTTACAAAGTTTGGCATTCACAACGCTTCAGAATCCGATAAAATACATAGCTTTTCAGGTTTTTGTCTTAAAATATGCAAAAGAATTAGGCATTTTTCTTTGATATTTTGAAAATTTTAAGACAAAAACCTGAAAAACTTTGTATTTCTGTGTTATTTAATTATAATTTGATTATTAATGAAATGTTTGTACCCTATTTTTGAAAACGGCATACTCTTTGCTGTTTATACGGTTAATACCCATTTTACATAAAATCGGCGGCCATATTGGACGCCATCTTGAATTCTGAAGCGTTGTGTAAGAAAATTTTTGTAAGATTTCAAGTTTTGTTAAGAAGAGACTGGTGTTTGTTTCAGAATTTTACAAAAAATAAAAAAGATTAAACGGGCAAGTTTGGGTACAGCAAGAATATTAAGTGACATTGACATTTCTATAGTTAATAGAGGAACTTTCCTGCTTTATTGGTTGACGAACTCTTCAGGCGGTCATCCTTGCATTATGTCAGGCACGAGAGGTCCAGATTCCCTGACTTCTTTCATGTTAGGAAACCTTTCTGTTTCGACAAGCCTCGTTACCTCCCAATTGGAGGGTCCCTGAGGGACGGATATTCCAAACCGAAGCGCAACATATGACAAATATTATTAACACTCATTGCCAAGTAATGGTTGATTTCAGGAACAGATTCGAAAGTGTGTCTTTAAGCTAATAATTTCATCGAACTAGAAAAAAATATGTTTAAACCAAATTAAAGTGATACAAACTTTTTTGTAATGTAACATTTGAATATTCCCAATTCTCGCACTGAAACTGCGGCAGACGATTGAAAAAAATCAAAACAACAACATGAAGTTATTAATAAGGAAGCTGAGTTTTTTTTTATTTTTAGCTCGACTATTCGATAAGAATAAGTAGAGCTATTGCAGTCACCCGAGCGTCGGCGTCCGCGTCGGCGTCGGCGTCGGCGTAACCACTTATGTTAAAGTTTTTGTAATAGTTCAAATATTTTCAAAGTCCATTGACATATGGCTTTGAAACTTTGTACACTTGTTCACCATCATGACCCCAACCTGTAGACAGGAGAAGGTAACTCTATCAAGCATTTTGACAGAATTATGCCCCTTTTTTGACTTAGAATTTACGTTAAAGTTTTTGTAATAGTTCAAATATTTTCAAAGTCCATAGACATATGGCTTTGAAACTTTGCACACTTGTTCACCATCATGACCCCAACCTGTAGACAGGAGGATGTAACTTTATCAAGCATTTTGACGGAATTATGCCCCTTTTTCGACTGAGAATTTACGTTAAAGTTTTTGTAATAGTTCAAATATTTTCAAAGTCCATTGACATATGGCTTTGAAACTTTGCACACTTGTTCACCATCATGACCCCAACCTGTAAACAGGAGGAGGTAACTCTATGAAGCATTTTGACAGAATTATGCCCCTTTTTCGACTTAGAATTTACGTTAAAAGTTTTTGTAATAGTTCAAATATTTTCAAAGTCCATTGACATATGGCTTTGAAACTTTGCACACTTGTTCACCATCATGATCTAAACCTGTAAACAGGAGGAGGTAACTGTATCAAGCATTTTTTTTACTATCAAGCATTTGAATAGTCGAGCGTTGCTGTCCTACTGACAGCTCTTGTTATATTAGAGCAGAACAAAGGATTATCGAAATTATCATATACATTGTACATTGACCTTTAAATAAATCAGTATGTTAAACTGCGTATTAACCCATCGACATTAATTATTTTCTTTTATGGACAAGATGCCATATTTACATAATCGATTAATTTCAATAAAAAGGGAAAAAACAAGATCATTGACCCTTGCTATTTGATCAGTCCCCCTCAATGCTGGTTATCTATCTGATTATATTTTAACCACAATAAATGTTTTCAAATATCCGTATTTATAGCTACTTTCAAGTACCCCGACCACTAACAAACAGAAAAATTAACATCAATAAATAGCGGATTTTGTCTTTCTTCCCCTGAAGTTTTTTTTGTTTTTGTTTTCCTATATACTTTTATTCATTTTACAAAATTATATACTGTTTCCTCTAGTTAAAGTGAAATTTAGCTAGCGCTCTAGGCCTACATATATTACTTAAACTAAAACATCAATCTATCCAACCAGCCGAACCGTCCGTCCTTCGTCCGTCCGTTTCCATAGTGTCTGCTCCATAATATTTTTTTTCAAACTTAGCTCACATATGTTCACCTTAACAAGTAATACCACAACCGCCATTATTTGTTATACAAATTGAATGATTACGGACTAAAATGTATCCGCCGAATATAATCAGTGTGAGATTTAAATATGCAACAGCAAAAAAAAAAAATAAAATCTGGGTCAAAGGTTATAGATAAAATTACCTTATCTCAGGCATTTGATTGGTCAGAAACCAGCACAGAATATGCACTAGCCAATGAAAATCCCGAGATCTGAGACAGACAGATCTCGGAAAAAAAGTTTTATTAACTGCTGGCCTAGCTGGATTAGTTTACAGCAGACGACGAGGTGGTTAGAGAAACAATTTGTTTTGTTTGTTCAATACATCTATGAAAGGAAGGACGTCCAAATAAGAGCCGTGTTATTTTTTTTTATCAAACTTTGTTTTATTTTAGGCTGAAAAGGGAGGACTAGGAACGGGAATGAACATGACAGAAGAAGAAAAATGTAAGTGTTTATTTCTTTGCGATATTCAGTCATTTATTTTATTTATTTTTATTTTTTTGAGCTTAAAAGACGAAACTGCTTAAAAATTGAACTTTGTACATATATAACGAACTCGTTTACAAAATAGATAAATAAATAGATAAAATTAAATAAAAAGATTAACAGGGTGTTTTTAAACAAACAACAAACAAACCAATAAAATAATTCACACAAAAAAAAACAATACAAAACAAATGAAATATTTTTATTACTCCAATTTTGAAGATTCTATGACGGAGTGATTAATATAACACCGCTAATTTCCTGGTGGATTCGATTTTTCGGACAAAGTCCGCCTGAATTCATTTTGACTTCCTGTGAAATTAACAGGGAAGGACTGAATATAAGAAGAATTTTCATTGGTCATTTTATAAGTAGAAATCGGAAAATCTCATCGGCCATTCTAAAATAAGATGTAAAGAATAGTTCTTACCATTCTAAAATAGACTGTAAAGGATAGTTCTTGCCGTTCTAAAATAAAATATAAAGAACAATTCTTACCATTCTAAAACAAAATTTTAAGGATAGTTACTACCATTCGAAACTTAGAAGTTACCAGTTTAACTTCGGACGAGTATCTTTTTAAAGATACTTCTTGTTACAATTGAATTTGATTTTTTTTCATGTGAGAAAGTTATTTCAAGGTCTGTGGTTGTTTCATTTTTGTACCCACTAATGCCACAATAAAATACACAGAGATTCTACATGGTGTCATCCTTCATCATGTAGAAAAACAACAACAACAACAAAATAAGGCTTTTGGTCGTTTAAACTTTGCCCAAATTATAAACTTTTATGATTAGTTTGTTATAAAGAAACAATACATTTTGACCTCTTCGTCAATTCAGTGCAGTAACGGGCTAACTCCTTATATAATTTAATAGGTGTTAACCCGTTATTGCATATTGACCATTTGTTATTTATTTTCAGATTATTGGGAAGCGTTTAATTTATTCGACAAGGATGGAAGCGGCTCTATTTGTAAAGACGAGTTCGGCAAGGCAACGCGAGCGTTAGGTTTCAACCCAACTGATCAACAAATTGCTGACTTGTTGAAACAATACGACACAAACAGTAAATAAAATTTTGATTTCTTTCTTTCTATAAATCTCTTTTTTATTAGCACAAACATGTATTTTTTGTATATGTACAAGAATATGCACGAACACTCATTTTTAGTTAAAAAAGATATGAAGATATAGAGGTGTATAAAGTACAAAAGAGGCAAATATTCGTACACAATTTGCAAAGTGCACCCCTCCCAACTGCCAACAACCTTATTTATTTTTTATTTATTTATATTTATTTATTTTTTTAATTTATTTATTTATTTTTTTATTTATTTTTTTTTTTTATTTTTTTTTTTTTTTTTTTTGGGGGGGGGGGTATATAAATTTGCTTTTGTCTGTTCGTCTGTCTCGTAGACGTGATGGGTATCCATGTTCTATGGACACATATGAATTGTTATTGCTTTGTCTGTTTTGAATTTGGAACAGTCCGTTTAAAGGGTTTTCTGTATCAAAATACAAAAACTGGGATGCCTACAGATAATCACTCGGTTTCTTGTATACAAACCCAATGTTTGTATGCAAATTCAATGCTTGTATACAAATTCAATGCTTGTTACAAATTCAATGCCTGTATACAAATCCAATGCTTGTATACAAATCCAATTCTAGTAATCAATTACATGCTTGTTTACCAATATTTGACTCGTGTACAAATTCAATGCTTGTATACAAACGCAATTCTGGTATACTAATTCAATGCTTGTATACAAATTCAATTCTTGTATAAAAACCAATGTTTGGCGTGTATGCAACTCCAATTATTGTATACCAATAAATAATGATATTAACATCTTTTTTCAGACACTGACCGATTAGAGTTTGTCGAATTTAAAACTCTTATTAAAGAACTGTACAAAAAGAACCCAAACGACAAAAATGCGATAAGAAATGCATTCAAAGTGTTAGATAGAGACCAAAGTGGCTATATCGAAGCCAAAGAATTAAAGGTAAAGTATAATACTATATGTATATTGCAATCTTTATGGATAAGCTCGTGAACATTCGGCATAGTTTGGCATTGTCCGCCATTAATTATTTTCCGCTTCTTGGAAAAAAATAGAGTATCAGTTACATAAGGAATAATAGGAAGTCTTACATAGAAAATAACAAAATTTGTTGAATTGTACACATGTATAATATACGATTGATTTTTACGAATTCTTAAAGACCTTAGACATTTTGGCATTATTTTTCATAGTTTATTTATGTACATTCCTTATTTGAATAGTCGTTTTACTTGCTGAAATATGTCAAGTCTGAAGTTTATTTAAAGGCACATTAATAATTATGCCTCAGAAGTAAATAAATTTTTAAATTTAAATTTTCTTTTTTAAAAGGGGGCAAGCATAGATCTTATAATGTTTAGATTATGGTTTTAAAAGAATGTTAAATACTTGCATGTTACATGAATAAATTTACATAACGAATAATACGAAGTATTGATATTTATGCTACATAGAAAATAACAAAATTTGTTGAAATGTACACATGTATAATATACGATTTTATATTTACGAATTTTTAAAGAATTACATCAATATGAAATGATTTGTCATAAAAGTTGCAAAATGTAAACAAAGTAGTATTTAGACTTCCATACAAAATAAACTAGTTCATTATAATTATACTTATTGCCAGCAAGCATCAGATGAATAAAGATGGTTCAGGTAATTGACCAATGACTAACTTTTCGGATACTATAAAAGTACTCGACACATTTTGAGAATTAAAAGGATTTCTGAGGCATAATGGGCCTTTAAACTAACTATATGCATTTTAAATATTATAGGAAGTGTTGCAAAAGTGTGGCCAGTCACTTTCCGACGACGAGATTAGCGAAATGATTGCTGTTGCCGACAGCAACAAAGATGGGAAAATAAATTACAATGGTATGAGAATAAAAGTTGTCTCCCCTGTTGTTATAATTGTGACTTTTTAAGAAAATGTAAGGGGCGTCCGTGGCCGAGTGGTTTAGGTCGTTGATTTCAAACTACTTGCCCCTAACCGCTGTGGGTTCGAATCCCGACAGGGACTTTGGCTACTTTCATGTGAGGAAGCTATCCAGCTACCTTACTGAAGGTCAGTAGTTCTACTCGGGTGTCCGTTTATGCCTAAAATAATGCACTAGTGACACCTGAGGAATTTCCTTCACTGGTAAAGCTGGAAAGTCGTCATATAACATATACTGTGTTGGTGTGACGTGAAAACCAACAGAAAATGATTTTCATGTGTAGATGATATTGATGGTGGCATATCAAGACATTAACTACTGAAGAAGTTAGTTTAAAAATATTGATGTAACAATTGGGCTGCCCTTATACAAATCACCCATAACAAAAGTGACAGGCATTTTTTGTCGCATGATGTTCTTCTAGTATTCCCTCCTGTGCAAAAAAGACAACCTTTTCTTCAAACTTCGGATAAGGACAATCGAACTTTGGTTAGATGTTCTTTATAGAGTATTGTGCTGCCTGATTCCACAAAATAAAAATTGTAACAGGGACAAAATTTGGGGAAAAAAAGAAAAGGGAAAATAATAGCATAATTAGGCCTTAGCATATCTAAGCCTTAATGGACCTTTAAAACCGCAAAGAAACTTTTTCTTTAGGCATGCCATTATATAAAAGGTTTCCCCACACATTAGTTTTTAAGACATTTATGAATATTTCATAGTGAGGATTTCCTTTGTAAATTATTCTCTCAAAAGATTTTCCATTATCTTTTTAAGTTTTAAAATCAAACAGCTTTTGATGTGAATACTCGAAAGCGTTAAAACAGAATGAAACCGACTTGATTAGAAAGAAAGAAAGAAAGAAAGAAAAAAGACATGTTTATTTGAAACGTGGTATAATTGTCATTGTGGTATAATGGTTAATGACGCGCTTTTATGCAAGAGAACACAATTATGCCTCTTTGTCAATTGGCGTCTGTATCACTAATCATTCCATTGGTTCGCTTTGAAATTCATGTTCATGGTCAATTTGTAGGCACGAACCCAGATTGTACGAAGTCTATAAAGAGTCCTGCGTCAGGTCTCAGATGTGTACCGTGTCCTGAATACAACTCTACAATTATACTACATTGTATATCTGTTTCCTTTTTCTTTTATTTTCAGAATTTACAGAGTATATGTGTAGACCTATCAAGTAGATACTTGTGTCATCATCAACGTCATCATCAACGTCATCATCAACAACTTCTTCGTTACACACCAGCATCGCCATCAGCTCAAGCAACATTTCATCAAGAGTTATCTGTCTTTATTTGTGACATTGTATAATTATATGATTCTTCAAGGATTCAAGAGTGACCGTTCTTGGATTAAGCGCCGACGTATTCGTCTACCTTTAATACTCTCAAACGAAAGATAATAATCGACTCAAAGGCGTTTCCCGATTAGATATTTTTAGAGTTATTGCCCTTATTTCAATTTTATTTCACGAAAAAACGGGTATATACAAATGTACATTAATAAGAGAGAGAATAGCTACAAAATTGGCTACGATAGACTTCGTTTTTGTTTAAAAAAATCAAACATTAAATACTTCACAGACAATAATTAAATTTTTCAGGTGTCCAGGGATAGATTTTTTGATTCTACGAAAGTGGAAGTATTTTCTATTAGCATGTTAACATTATATTTAAATCTCTCATATCCAATACTAATTACTCCAATTCAAATAATGATGGCAATATCTGTAGATCTGCTGAATGAGATAAAATGGAGTCATTTCAGGTAAAAAGAAGAAGTAGAGGAGAACAGTTCCTTTTCCGGTCTCCACACCTACCATCTTTTTAAACCGATGATCAGGACTTTTTCGCCTATCTGATTTTTCACAATCTATGAAAGGGACTCCACAGGGTTGGGGTTTTTTTACATAACGGGACTGGAAATAATTGTTCTAGAGTAATATCACATTTGATATAAATCGAGAGACCAATAACTTGTGTGCAAAATTTCAGATCATTCGCTCACTCCGTTTGTCCAGAATAAACATTCTAAGTGTTAAAATGACCTAAACTAAAAAGCGTTGCAACGCTTTTCACTCAAATCGAGCTTAGGATAGCACAAAAGTTTACTTGATTATCACTTTATTTCCGAGTATATTTTTTAATTATCTTTTGTAAATCATTCTGTTTTAAGTTTCAAAGTTGATCTATATAAGGAAGTAAAATTTTATGATTAAAAGCTATTGAACACCAGTTCACTTAAGCCATTCTAGAGCCTTCCTTCCTATCCTTTTTTGCCCATATACCAGAAACAAAATGAGATTTCTCTTTGGCCTTAGCGTCAGCAACGAAATAATATATTAGTCAATCGATGAATTACGGTGGTACATTTTGTCATAATTATATATCATTTCTATTTTGTTATAGTATATTTGTATTTTTGTATTTGTAAAACCATTGTGTACATGTATGTTTTTTCCATTCTTTTATCCGTAGTGCCAACTGTAATAAACATAGATCTAAATTATTGATGCTTGTAATATAAAATCGTAAAGGGGAGGAAACTTTGGAAAAGTGTAACGTCAAGGCATTCAAGGGAAGTAACTTTGGTCACATAGTTACAATCATGAGTGTTAATTAAGGGGTAACCGTTGTGTTACAAAACTTGTCTTATTCGAAACATTACCTTTAGTTTCTATGGTTACATTTTAGAGGTGGGGATGGAAATCGGGGAGGTAACTATGTCAATATTACGACTACAATAAATTTAAAGGGCGGTAATTTTGGTAAAACTGTCGGGGCCACTTTTTTACGTTGTAAAATTGGTAAATTTAACAATCTTTTTATTGAAATACCTATGAAAAAATGCATAATTATTTTACATATAGAAGCTTCCTATGAAACAGGTGTGAAGGTAAATTAAATTTTATTACTTTCACGCCGATCTGATATCCGGCCACCGCTCCGGTTCCAACATTTTTAGAAAGTAAGGTCAATGAACTTCTTTGCACAAATAACAACTGTTAAAGATGCAAAATATCCCCTCCCGGATGACTACTAGTTATTTTTTCGCTCCACAAATCCCCCATAAGAGACCCTTCCTTATGTTCAGGCAAATCTTATGTAACCTCCGTACTTATAGCATTTATATGTCTAACTTTTTTATGCATTTTTTTAATTGTTTGTACTTTAGGTATAGAATAAAGAAATATATATCCAAACACGTTTGTTCTTGTAATCAAAAAAATCCATAACAAGTGTGTTGCTTATATAAAAAAATACTTTTTTGTCTTGACACAATTTGGATCACACATCGCCATGTCTGTATATTGAATGAATGTCTGCATCCAAATACCATTATATGCGATGATAAACTTTCTTTGAATTAAATCAGTTAAATGCAATAAAGACTGATCCACAAATCTGCATTTGACATTTAGTTAGAAAATAACTGAAATCAAGCCCATGTCGACGGTCAAGGTCCATCTACATGAAGATGTTAACGCGTCGAACTAGTAATCCAAGTATTGCTGGGTGTGTTGGTTCAAACCACTTCATTGCCGTTGTTTCCTTGAGCAAGAAACTTTACACTCATTACCAAGAACTGGTTGGTTCCAAAAACGACTCCGAGAATGTGTCTTCTGTTTAAACTAAATGGGACCTCGGTCATCCGAAAGACTTGTTAGTTATCTGATATGGGGTCGCGGTTTGTGGGGTGGAAGTCGCATAATTAACAACCCTTTTGTAGTAAGAGTTTCCGATTTGTTCATTTTTATCACAGTTCACAATTAAAACAAAACACTCAATAAATTGACATAACCTGGCAGAGCCAGACATTTCCATTATCAAATATATAATCATATTTTCATCATATATTTACAAATGTAATATTGTTAATGAAGAATAATTTTCTTTAAAAGAAAAACAACAACAAAACAAAAGAATCAACGTCATATAAATATAGCAAACAAATTTAGACAACATGCCTAAAATGTTTAACATGACAAATGTGCAAAACTGCATTTTTGCTTTCCTAATCACATTCATCAACGCCAGTCAACACAGATACAGAGGAACCTGTCTTATCCGGGCTCATCCGGACCAGAAGAAAGTTCGGATTAGAAACACAACACTTTCACAACACAAGTCGTAAAACTACTCTGTAAAATTAATTTTCTTTTGTTATGAAAACGCTAATAAAGACCCCCATTACACCGGGTCAGTCCGTTTTTATCCTGGGTCCAATAAAAAGTAAAAGAACATTGCATAATGTCACCATTTTACACTGTCACACGCAAGTATATTAATTCCATCTTGTACTAAATTAAAATTCACTGCCGATTGCTTGTAAATCTGAAGATCTTTAAAGCATCCATTGAATGGCTCCAAAAAATATCCAAGAGTATTGTGTGCCACGTCATTGTCTTTGAACGATCCTTTAAAAACAAAATAAGTTCGTCTTTATTTAAACATGCTCATGCCCTCAAATGAGTTAACAATTTTTCGAAAAGAAAATTTATGAAACATACATTCAAATGAACAAATGTTACTTAAATTTCAAGTGAAACTTTGCCTGTTTTATGTAAAATATAAAAGAATTTACTATTTTCATCGTTTCACCGGCATATTTATATCCCGTTACTGGCGGATGGAGAGCAAATTCGCGTATTTTGACGTATAACATGTTCTGGCTTAATTTATACTCACGACAGTGTCTAAAAAGTTTCAAAAATAATTATAGTATAACAAATCTTGGAGCGTCCTACTTTAAGCTAAATACATAAAAACTGTAAAGAAGAAGGTCGATTCTTGAAAGAATCTGTAATGTTAAAAACAATCCACACAAAATGGTTAAACATTTTTACCTATATAGAACGCTCCGAAAGTGTCCAAAGTGAAAAAGTCTCCGGATACTCGACTTTCGTACGTCAGCTCATCAATTTTCAGAACTAACAGTTGCTTTTCCCTGAAATATATTAATAAGTTTGTAATTATCTTCAGTGTCTTGTAAAAAAAACCATTATAGAAAAAATTTCGTTTCGTTGACAAAATATATACGGACCTTCAGTTAATGTCCTTTTATAACCGTGGAAAAATGAGAAAGCTACACTCATTACACTCGTAAGAAAAAAGCAAGTTTTAACTATCAATAAACAGCAAGAAATAATAGTAATCATAATAATTAAAAACCAACAAAAAATCAAAAGAAATAAAAAAAAAACGACCCCCCAAAAAACAACAAAAAAAACAACAACGCAAGTATTTTTCAACACGTACTAAAGTAATGCTGGCTTATGTAATTTGAAACATCACTGCATGTCCAAGTATGCATATTAAAATAAACTACAACATTCCTTGACTGTTATAGTGTGAGATCTCGATATACTGACTGTGCATTAGCGCCTTTCGGAATTGAACAATCACGTAAAAAACGTGCAAACACTTATGAAAATAAACCTTGTTTTGGGGTTTTTTTTCAGTTACGCACTGGCCTTCAGTTTTAACACACATCACGACTGCATGTGTTCTTCAGTACTGGTCATGTACATCAATGAAAACATTTACAGGTTTTCTAATAAGACACTATAATCTTGAACATTGGGATAAAATACTAACGGGAACATTATAGCACATGTATAAACTTAATCTCAAATGCCGTCTGCATTTGTTCGTTCATCGCATCATTTTGTTATTAAAATAAATAGTGATAACTACGAGACCTTAATCCGGTCGACATGAGAGTCTTCGGAAATGACTGGTAAAAGAGGAGTCACTGCTGAATGACGACTTTGCCTCCACACTCAAACATGCGGACATTTTGTTTCAAAGCTTTAGTTATCAAGTGTTGGTGGTATTGAGAGGGGCGCCTATATGATTGTACGATATGAAGACTATCGATGCTAGTACAATTAACGAAGGACTTTTCTACTTTACTTAAAAAAATGAGTGATGTGTCATATGCCATGCTGTTACAACACTGAACCTCAGGTTAGAAGTTATATTTTATAAAATGGTAGTTTAAAGATATACTGTGCTCATCCTTGAGTAAAATACTTTAATCACAGAAATTTATTGAAATCTATAAAATTCTTATTGAGTATGTCTAATCTGAATAAAAGAATGAATAAACTATGTACGTGAAGCTGCGTTCTTTTGGTTGGTCTTTTCTTAAAAAAAACTACCATTATATTTCATATTGTGACCACCTATAGTGTGTAGAATCTTAAACAAACTATATCTACTTTATGTGAAGTTAAAACATGTTTATTTTATTTTTACAAAGAGACTGTGTAGCAATAATCAATAACTTCTAATATCAAATTTGAGCATAGTTTATCTTTAAGATGTATAATCAAGAATGCATCTAAAGAACTCTTTAAAGAACCAATTCTAATTAATTAAATTCCAAAATCCCAATTAATTCCAACTGTATTTGAACTTCCAAAAAAGGAGACATAAGATGTGTAAAATGAGATAATATTTCACCTTTCAATTGTAATATTATGCCATTTTCCATCACTAAACTTCAGAGGTGTGATTATTTCTCCTTTTGAGTACCAACCAAGATTCCAAACAAGTTTCAGTAGGCCATCTTGTATTCCTACGCCAAGATAATCTTCATCGTCCGTGTACGTCTTTTGGCGAAAAAAAAGAGTAACAGATTAAATAGTAAAAATACCCATTTTAATGTGATTGAAATTGCAAAACGTTTATTTCTTATCATCATAACATACAATGTAATTAAATTTTAAGTAAAGGTTATGGTATACATGTATTTTGTACGGAGTAAATAAAACCACCGTTTTTTGAAGAATTGCATTCAAAGTGGCAAAATAACATATTCGGCATTTTTTAAAGTTGGTTTAGTGTTTCAGTTGGGCGGAAAATGAGGCAAGGGACAGAAGCCAACATAACACAAACCAGCCATTAATGCGCGTTGAAATCGCTGCCCATGCATATTTAAGAACACTTTTCAAGATTGTTTTACTTTTAGACGATTTTGAACATATTTGAAGCAAAAGAATGTCCCTTGTTTGCTCTTTTGTGTCAAGCAATTACTAAAAATGGAGTGTTCATGTTTTTTGTTAGGTTAATAAATTACCTGTCCATTCCATAACATAATGCAGTTTATAACTGTCGTTTTAAATGAAAACGAGATATCCGTTTTTGATGTATTACTCCGCGGGAAATCGTCATCAATAAAGTTCATATAACTTCCGGTCGAGAAGTAAACAGAATTCTTTAGATCCGCCACTGAAATATACATATGCACACATTTATTACTTTTTTCTTGACCTTTTCCCTGCAGCAACCGGAAGTGACGAGTCTTGCCACCAGAACACGGCTAGTCAGGCCAGCCTGCACATGCCTACTTACAAATGCGGAAGCTGTGCTAGTCAATATAAGAAATTCAGTAGGGGTAATGGTTAAGATTTCAATTTTCAATTAATAACACAACAACATTTTAGGGATGATAAGACATACTTATAAAAAAAGTTTTAAAAAATCAAAATCAAGGTACATGTACATGTAATTGATCGAATTTAGCTTCGGCAAAATCAGCACTGTTGCTTTTTCAACATTGTAGATTTACTGTTGTTAAAACATAATTATTAATTTTTTATTTCTTTTACTACATTTTTTTATATTTGGGATAATTGGAAATTATTTTGTGGTCGAGGACCAATTTTTATCATTACAACCAAGTAAAATATATAGTTTTAATGTACCATCGCTACAGAACCTTCCCTGCCATCCTATGAAACAATCACATTTATAACTGTCGTCCCCTGCTGCTCTACAGATGCCATGTACACAGCTGTGGTTAGAGCATTGTACGGGTATGTCACACGTTTCACCAACAAACGAGCCCGTACAACTACAGCTAAACTCATCATCAGCTTCAACAGAACATGTTCCTCCATTCCTGCAAACATCGTACCCGCATCTTGTACCGTCACAGTCTTCAATGTTACGGCCGTATTTTGCTCCTGAAACAGTGAAATTATTTTAGACAAAGTCAATATAAGATAGCAGCTATTACAGAAATCAACAATAAATGTAATGTTTACTTTGATATCTTTTATCAAAAGACCAAACCTCCGGTCAGTGGGCAAGAAATCGCTCTAAATCATACTACAGCATAATAATCCGGGAAAAGGGTAAAATGATCTCTTATTATTTGCAATGGCATATAGCAGAATTGGCGCGATAACTAGTTATGGGATTTAAACCAAATAAATGATCTCTTTACCTTCAAATATGATATTGATATCGAAATCTTGTGAAATTATAAAATAATATTTAAACGAATTATTTTGTTAATTGGTACAATTGTCTAATTTTTTATTCGAATTTAGAAACTTCTCATTCAGCTTTTTGTTATACAACAGATATGCATATAAACTAAATAGATTTGCTTTTTATAATAACATGTTATTCCATTAAACTTCATACTAAGTAAAAGTACCATTTTGATTCAGTTGTAACTGCTTTTCGTTCACGGCAAAGTCCCTGATGCAACCATGAAACGCTTCTGGTTCGTTCTCAAAAGCTTCTGGGGAAGCATCTTCTAAGTCTGGAAGACCGCCTATAAAATGATAACAATGCAGTTAAATTTATCAATTCATGTAATGTACGAGCTTGACGTAACTGAAAATACAAAAAAAAAGCTTTAAACATGGACAACTTAAGTATTCAAGACATATGAGTCATTAATGGTTAGTGAAAATTCAAAGATAATTTCGAGTACCGATGAAAAAGTCTGTTGTAACATCTAGAAATGTCATCATTCCTTGTAACTGTTCTGTGACCGTTTCATCATCTACAGAAATGTAGAAGTGTGTCACATTTCTTCCTGCTTCTACAGTATACCATCTATCTGTAATTAGAAAACAAATTAGTAGTAATAAATCGATGGCCTTTATACATTATCCATCATAAAGATATGTGTAAAGAAATATTTACTTTTTAAAATTTTGTTGGGTATACAAGTCGTGGTTCACAAACAATCATTTAAGTTCTGTATGTATGATTTCATTGTCAATCAATAAGTCGATTCAAGCCTTCAGCACGAGCATTCACCAATGGTCCGATCTTATTCCAGTCGTAACATATTTTAGGATTAATGAATTTTTATATTCCACCAACGAAGCAGTATCTTAACAAGGATTGAAAAAGTTACCTACCCGGATTAGAAACCTCGGTCATATGTTCAATCATATTTACTCCAGCCCCTACATCGATTCTCAGCTGTAAACGCTTGTTATTTAATATTAAGGACAGAAAATCGCCAGAATGACTATGAAGGCGTTGGGCAACATAGAAAAGAAGTCCCTCAGACATATTCGGTTTGATCTGAAGCTGAATCTGTATCTGACGTTTGATATACAACGGTTGGAACGCCATGTAAGACCCTTCTCCGAGGAACATTGGGTCACTGATGTTCATGTCTACAAAATGGGAAATCATATTCACGAGTTGCCGTAAAATATTACTGCAATTGTGGCATATAAGTAGGAAGCTAACCCATTAAAGGCGGATGGTTTTACATGAGGTTTCCTAAATTAGGAAAGCTGGAAAGTACATTGTTGTTGTTACAAAATATTAAAACCTAATGGATATCAGGAAAAATGTATTCTTTGAATTCTCTTCTTTAATTCCGTCTAGGCTGCTATTGACATATTCTGCTCTGCAACCTTAAGTTTTACGGAATAAATTGTCGAGAGCATGGAAATCTGACATTTTAATATTTTTTTAAACAACTGATTCGAAAAATTAGTTTTATGCTATTCACAAGTTATGAGACGGAAACAAAACACCTACAAAGCTTATTTCTTCAAACAGCAAATAATATAAGTACAGTCAAATTAGATAGCAACAATATGAAATGAATTTATTTATTTACGCCGAGCAAAAAAATTTTTATGCGGGAGATAAGTAAAATATTGGCATGCTCTTTGGTGTTCGTTTTAACCGGTATGTATCATACTACCTTCATCACAATGTGTCCCTCTCTTTCCAAGTGGGCAAAGGCAGTGGTAGCCATCAGACATTTTGGGAACACACGTACTTCCGTCTCCACACGCATGAGCAAGATCACAAACAGTAATAACATCTGTACAGAATGTGCCTTTCCAGCCTTCTTTACAAGCACAACTGAAATAAGAAATTTTTGATCTCAAGTTCCAAATCTACCAAATATTTTTGTCTTTGTTTTTTCCAAACTAAACGGTAAGATTAAATATTTTCTACTTTCAGTTCTTAGTGTTATATGATATTTAAATGCTATATTGACAATAAAGTCTCGCAATTCTACTCACTTTACATTATGTATATACTTCTTGGATTAGGCAAAAAGACATAATAATGTTCATTTAGAATATGCAACCCTTTAAAGTATAATAATAGAATGTTCAAGTTGGCAAGGTATAAACATGAATAAGATTAGCTTACTAAATTGAAGCGCCAAGATCTCGACAATCAGCGCCATTTTGACACATGTTTTGGTCGCAAGACATTGAGGAACACTCCCCTACATTTCTGCCATTTATAACATGTCCAGGTGGGTTACCGGGGACAATAAACTGTGTAATATCGCTTCTTATCCTGATGTTGAAAATGCACCCTGAAACAAATATATTATTGATATATTGTCGATATCATTTTCAGTTTTAACTCATTATGAATGTTGTATAAATAACTTTATACATTTTTCTTTCTTAAAAAGAGCAACACTTCAGTTTCAATTTATCGTTTATCGAAATTTTCAATGCTTTCAAAAGGTTATGGGGGACACACTAATAAAAAGCCATAAATGAACAAAAACCAACCAAGAAACTCGCATTTCAAATCTATAACATTTTCTTAATTTGTTAAAAAAAACTTCTATCACGCCTTTGTGCAACTACTAGCAAAGGGGAGTTTATAGTTTTTTACGATCTCGCAGATGACGATGAAATTAATGAACAACACATTCAAGTTCTGAATTCATTTATAATAGGCAGTGCATGTATGTATGTAGTATATGCCTAATGCGGGTCCATCCGCCCGAAATAGCACAACATGCAGCTTTTGTTGTCGAGTACGGACCCCGGGTATGTCACCATTCATGCCCTTAAAGACTTAATTTTGAAGAACAAAGTGGCATAATTTACATGCAATTTCCACGGAGTGTTAGCCAAAGATATGAATTTTGAGCCAAAAGTAGGTCACTGTACGGCGGTCAATGAGAACCTTAATGTACAGTAACCTGAGACTTAATGAAAGGGTAGCCCTTACATGGGCTGTTGGTGCCAGCAAAAGGCCTGTCGTTCAAGCCGTCTAACCGTGCTAGGGGCTCACGAACCCTGTCGACTCAAAGCCTACTTTGTAGGGCCACTCCCCTCGGCTTTAGTCAGGACATCGGCAGCTGGTCGGCAGTACAAGTTCCGATCTTTTGCGCCGTCCCCAGTTTTCAAATCTTCTGCCGATGCCCTGTGTTCTCTCACCGAGGTACACATACCGAGGGGAAGAGAGAAGATAGGCAGTGCATGTTTATAAATGTGAATAAATACATGTATTGATTTAATCTTTCTTTTAATATTCCAATTTATCTTATGCTGACCTTTGAACCCATCATCAAAGTCCGCCCCATTTGGCAAAACTCCAATTTCTGACACATCGACGTTACCAAAGTAGAGTTTTGAGTTTGTATTTAGTGCCGTTAGAACACCGGGACTCTTTCCAGTTATATTTCGCTGGTTGTCGACCTGAAGCCAACCAGAGTTTCCAGCTCGTCCAAGTTTTATGGAATGGTGATGTATGGTCTCGTCAAGTTTTCTTGCACTATAAATCTGTCCATAGCCTGAAAATAGTAAATCCATAACCTAAAAACATTAAATTTCACATTGACGTATTAGTACTGGATAGAATTAAACATTGGTTAAATGCAGGTGTTATATTTTTATCGTGTACAAAACGATTTTGTTTGATGTCAGTCACACCCTTTTGTCACGAAAGATGACATACTGGGTACACTCTCAGATGCAACATTGTTGTCATTCGACTGTTTTTGTGGGTTTTTTTCCATCAGTCCTTAGACACATTTATTTTGATACAGATCTCATTTCCTATCCCGAACACAGCAAACGCTCTAGTTATTATATGGATATAAAATGCCTTACCCGAGCCAAGATCAAATCTGTACACGACAAAACCGAATTCCAAACCCACAGCCATAAAATCTCTCCTACCGTCATATGAACCTAATATTAATATAAAACATACCACAATCACTTAATACATTTAGGAAAATAGTTAGTACATGTAATTATACAATAAAAAATGCGAGGCAAACGTATGCCAGGATATTTTCAATGTTATTATACAATAAAAGTTGGGGTGGGCACATATATTATAAATTTATTAAATGTACAGTGCTCACAAGATATTTTCAAACCCATATGTCCGCAAACATAACCAAAAGCTGCGTGACAGAAGTATGCAACTATATTTCCCAAGCAATTTTACACTTTGTACGACAAACTTGGTAAAAAGTAGCAATCTCACCCGTATTTCCCATAAATAGGATCAAACTTGTGTCGGCAGATGTATTATCAAGTATGATGTCGAATTCAAGTTCTATATCAGTCTCGACATAGTGTGGATGCGCGTATGCGATATATGAACTGTAGCCATATTTGTCTCCAACAAAGTGAGGTATTGCTACAGGTAAAACTGAAATAAATATACCATTTAACAGATGTTGATCAATTCATCTACAAATGCAACTGCATGCAAATAAAAGTCAGTCTTTTTTGTGGTTTAAAAATATGCAAGTGTCAAGTGACATTGAAAACGGTTTCATTTTGAAACGTCATATTTAAAAATTCTACGCGATTTGCCGAATAACCCTTTTATAGTAATAGTAATGACGATAACGCCCGTAACTTAATAATTTGATGACCATTTTCAGTGAATATTTCCTTTACATTTGCCTTAATAACAACCCTGGGCTTGTTGATCAAAGCGAAAAGATTCATCACCCTGAAATAGCCTTTCGGCGAATTTGAAGATGTTTAGTAAGGATTAAGCAAGCATGGCAAAATGGTAAGATTTATTAAAGGTTGCTCCTTTCTTTGTAACATTATAATTATGTACGCTTTAATAATGAACTAAAGATGAAATTTTCATATTTAATAAACCTTCTAATTTGAAATATTTGAATATGTGCGAATATTTCATACTTGGATTTGAACCCTCAATTACATAATTATTTATCTTATTACCTTCTTTACACAGAGCACCACCTCTACCATACGGACAAAGACACAACTGATCACGAGCCTTTTCTTGAATTATGCATGTTCCGCCATGTTGACATGGATTGACGTCACACAACTTCCGTTCGCAGAGGGCGCCACCATATCCGGAAGGACAACTGCAGTACCATTCTTCACCAGAACTTTGTTGAGGTGAAGAAATACTTTATACAATTCAATGTAACCTTATACGAAGCTGTTTCGTGATGTGCAGATGCGGTTAAATTTCGCATTACTAAGAACTTTTATCAGTCTCCATACTATTTGATTGGTTCTCTAAGATATAGGTTAGGGAATTCATGATTAATTTGCTATACGACCTTTACAAATATTCATACTCATAAAATACCGGTGATTCATTCAATATGACTCTTGGAGTTTGCCGTAATATTCAAGAAAATTTATAAACATTTATTAAGATGATCTTTACTGAAACACTAACATTACATTTGCTTGCTACACAATGACGTACTTATAACCTGTATGTGGTGCGATTTCAATCAAGCATGAAATCAATTATAATTCCTAAATTGAAATAATGGAATAATTAAAGCCACGGTGTCAAAAGTATGTTATATACACCAAATACCTGTGACAAGTAGCTCCATTTTTACACGGATCGTGCTGACACACGGGAACATTACAGTTGTCAATATTGACCCCTCTAATCGGCATGGTAACGAGGTCAATCTCTTTTTTATTGATCTGCAAATTATGGATACAGCCAATGAAGCCGTCCATTATGTGAGTACCGGAAATGACATCATCTGTGTATGTGTACCGTGGTATTCCTCCTAGAAGAAAACACCTTTAATTGTGTTACTTTAATTAAAAATAAGAAAATGCCACAATACAACAATTTTTTACCAAAATTATAGAAAGCGCTGAAAATAAAATAGTTATTGATAAAGACAGCAAAATGTAAACAAAGTGGTATTTTGATTTCCATATAAAATACTCGACCACTATCACGTACTGTACTAATCACCAAAACGTAGAAGTAAAAGATGAGTTAGTTGTATGGCCAAGTAGTAGTTTTTTGTAAATTGTAACAGGACATCAAAAATAAAAAGCTTTAGATAAAAAAAAACAGTTTTATAATTTTTGATAAGCCCAATGACTGCTTTTTCCTTAAAATGAGCATATTTTCCGTGTGTCTATTTAAGCCATATTTATCAAAAATAATTATTAACTGTAGACATTTTCTTAAATTTACACACAATATCCTTGAGACAACCGTGAAAGAACCATTTGCCTGATTTCGATGCGTTCTTACCGGAATTTACCTTATGCATAGTATTTTAAGTTCATAATGAAATGAGAGTTATGATGCATTTAATTGTAATAGTATGGAGGTTCTTCTGCACAAAAATATCAGGCCCATACTCGAACGCTAGCAAAATGTCGGGGAGATTTCCGTGTTTTTTGTTTTTTTTGGGGGGGGGGGGGGGGGCACGCAATTTTGTGTATAAAAAGTGAATATATTAACCGTATAAACACCATTTGCCAGATTCCGACGCGGATTCGTTTTTTTATTAGTTATATGAGCCTTCTATACATAAACATAAGGCCCAAAGTCCAAATCTAATCCAAGTAATATGTCCAGCAGATTTCCCCTTGCCATGCTCGGTTATTTGGACCGGAGAGTTGTTCTTTCTGTACGAATATAAACTGTAGAAATTTTTGTTTAAAAAAAATACACCAAATTCTTGAGCCAACCATGAAAACAACATTTGTCTGATTCCGATGCGGATTCGATTTTGTACAAGTTTGGTAGTAATAAGAGGCCCATCAAAACATTTTATCAAAAGCAATGGATTCTTTAAATTATTTTCACTTGGCTTTATAGGAGGTCTAACGCATGTGTCTGCTGTGAAATCGTACTTTAGAAATATTTGCGCATTCTGATCAGTTTGATTAATTTAAATAATGTTGTCTTGCCACCGACAGCTTTTGATTCGGTTCTCATCAGGGACGGGAAAACTATCCAGTTCGCTAACAGGAAAGTGGTTCTACTCAGGTCTCCGTTTGTGCATAAAATAACGCATGGAATATGATTTGAGGTAATGCTGGAAAATCTACATGACATTCATTGTGTTGGTGAGAACAAAGCTAAAATAATTATAAAGAATACCTAGATACAGATTTCCTAGTAACTGGGAATGTCTGACTGTTAGTATAGGACTACTGACAAACACCCTGGAGTTGACAATGACAGCTGATGAGCACCATTCTCCTGGTCCTGATGACCACACTTGTCTTGAAAATAAATTAAAAAACAAATGTCTTGTTTTTACGCTCATCAAACATATTTATGGCCATATAACAGGCTTTCCTGGATAACTATCCAGCCATTATCAATTTCTCCGCAAGTGACCGGCTACTAATCCCACATGATTTATGAGTCAACGGTGGGACAAAAGACCATTTCATTCAATGCCGGTCATCAATTAGATTATTGTCACGGATAAACTTCGACTCGCCTGGAGATATAACTAACAACATACCTGATACAGTTTAACAGAGAAAATAGTATTTCAACGGTCTTCTCGATTAAATACAAAAAGGCAATATTTATTGCGAAACTTTGCTTAAAATGAACTAAATAAATCTTACACGGTGAAATTGCATTTAATGTTTCAGGAAAAATTGATTATTATGCATTATTAAAATCATAAATTAGAATAATGGCAATTTAGTGTTATTTATAGAATCTTTATCTATCATCCTTGTTCATTACAAAAATATTTTTAAGTACTTTATACCGTATGACAATTTCATATACATCGCCAGTATTGACTGTCATGCCAGTTTCGACAACTCCATTCATGAAACCGTCGCACGAAAATATGTAACGAAGCTCCCCATTGGTCAAATAGAGACGCATAAATGCAGCCTGTTTATAATCTGCTTCTCGATTGGCTGAATACAAAATTGTATCGTCCATCTGAGTGGTCTTTATTGAAACATATATCTCGTTTGATTGGTCAGAAGATATATCTGGCGGAGTCAGCTCAAGATAAGACGAGCCAATGAAAGCTGGATAATAAATCAGCTTTTCTAAAATAGACAAAATTAAGGAGTGCATATTAAACGCATTATTTATATGATGTGCAGCAGGAAAGCATACTTTTGTATGTATAATATCATTTGTAGAAAATTAAGTAAATTCATTAGTAAACAGTAGCCGTTTATAAAGTTTGTATAAACATCACGATTATCCAATTAAAAATTGACGTTACAAACGAGAAGTATAAAATCATATAGACACCCCAACGTGCTAAAAGCGCATAATGTAGAGTAAATTTCAAACTAAATAGGTAAAAGTACCTGAAAAATAAAACTATAGGAAGATTATTGAAGGTATTAAGCTCATACCATTTTCACACCTTGGTCCGTAGAACGGCAGTTGACAAGAACATCTGGGTACTTGTACATTGAAAATTGTCATGGTAACGGTGCATGTTCCGCCATTTTCACACACATAACCATCACAAGCCGTTGCCTCTGTAAGGAAAGAACTGTTTTAGGCAAGTCGGTGTGTATCCGAGGTTGATTCATTTGCGAAGATGAAAAGGAACAATAAATACAAGTAATTTTGTCTGTGGCAAATAACATAATTTGGTTTTCCCAAGAAATGAATAAATGGATAGTCCGTTTCATTTTTGATTGGTTATAAATAACAAAACCAATAGGGCCAGTCAATTCTAACACTAAATCATATCATACTCGTATTGATTTATTTGTTGAAGTCAATGGGGTTGAAAGGTGATAGTTGAAAATGGTCGACAAATAGTGAGGATACAATAATATAGCGTTTTATACTTTTAAAGGATGAACATTACCTGTCTGACACTTTTGGCCTATATATTTATCCCCACAATCACAGTAGACTCCGGATATATCCTCTTTGCAATCCCCACCATTAAAGCATCCGAAAGATTCACACGAAGTAGATGGCCCTGGTGTCGTAGTTGATAAGGAAAGCGTTGAAAAAGGCGCGCTTTTAGATGGCTGTATAGTGACAGAAGCGGTTGATGAAAATTCTGTTGAATATGTAAACGTCGAAAGTCCAAGAGTCGATGTTGAAGACGCATGGAAAGACGACGAATACAAATTGGGAGATGTCAATGATCCATACTGTGATATTCCTGAATTTACAAATGTAGCCACAGCTGATTCTGTTGAAGAAGATAATAAGTTATCAAACAATGTTGATGTCGGTTGCAGTATTCCTGAGGATGACATTTGTAAGATAGTTGATGTTGATTCAATTCCAGAAATCGTAACAGATGTGATTATGAATGAACTACTCTCAGATGAAAACAAGTTGGAAGACATGTTTGGAATGGTTGACACAGATGTAACACTATGTTTACTCTTACTTATTACGTCATTCGAACTACTTCTCTCATAAGTTTTTGTAATCTCTAAGCTAGGTGTTGTCAAAATGGTATTTTCATCTGAAGGGCTTAAAGAATTTGAACTGACCAGAGACACTGGACTAATATCGGGTGACGACATGATTTTTGACGATTCAATGGCAAAATCAGTAGATGCAGAATGCGTGATTGCCCAGCTTGCTTCAGATTTGTTTACCGACAACTTCGATGGCCTTGAATATGAAGTTAAAAGGTTAGACGTCACGAAAAAAGATGTACTTGGGAACGCAGGTGATGACATTGGTGAAGCTTTTGTTAGAAAGGAGATTTCCTTGCTATATGTTGGAGATAATGCTGTCGACGACATTGTTGGTAATATTGAAGAGATTGTTCGTAACATATGACTTGTCTGAAAATCACCGCTGAATGATGTTGTCTTCAGACTTTCACTGCTTCTTTGAATTAATGTTCTAGAACGACTTGAACCCAGAGTCGTGTGTGATTTTGATGACGATAGTTTAGAAAGGTTCGATGGAACAAGAGATACGGTGGTATTAATCGATGTTTTCTCAGATAAATCAGATAAATTCAAACTTTGAAATGAAGTTACACTATCTAATGACATATACATAGTTGAGGAGAAATCTAAATCTGTGGAAGTTCTAAGGTCACCTGAAATCACCAAAGATGCTGCTGATTGTTGTGATAAAGAATCAGTTGATATCGTAGAAGAAATTGTAAAATCAGAAGTAGTCCTTTGTGTGAAATCTGACATTGTCTGAGTAACTGAACTTGACATCAATGTAGAACGCGATAACGTGCTTTCTGATGTCAAAAATGGTTTTGTAGTCGAAAGTCGTAAAGTTGAACTAGATGTGTGTTTTTCTTGACTTACTGAATTGTCTATGGAAGTAAACATCGGGACGCTCCTACTTGAAAAGTCCATTGTATGTGTTGCTGTAAATGTCTGTTCGAATGAGACTGGTGTTGAGTCGCCACTAGATTGCTGAAGACTCGCGCTAGAACTTGAGTAGAAAATATTTTCAGATGTGCTAATGTATTTCGACAATGAAGACAGCGACTTATCGGAAAAGTTTGATGACTGTTCCAGTTGAACGATGGTTGTTTGTGTTGATACAGCCTCAGAAGATAGAGCAAATGAAACAGATTTTGAGAAGAGACTACTTGAGATTAATGCCGGTGAGTATGATACTTCTGTCTGTGTAAATGAGGGATGTACGAGGTTAGATGAATCAGAAATTTCTGTCATTGAGGACATTAATATTGAGCTTGGAGGAATTGATGTTGTGATATGATCAGTACTATATGTTTGATGTATGAATGAGGAAGACTTTGATGGTGATATATGTGACAAAGATGTTGTGGAAGATGCCGGCAGACCAAATGTTGATGAAGCAGATGATACGCTTGAAGCATCTTTTAAAGGAGTGGTAGGAACAAATAGTTTGGAAGATGACAAATGTGGAATACTTGATGCGATATCTGATGAGAAAACTGTGCTTTCTTTTGATGTAGATACGTAAGAGTTGAATTTTGTTGGATTGATCATTGTAGATTTTAGTGTGGTTGACTGTCTAGAAAGTTCATTTGAAGTGGTACTACTGAAATAATCTGAAGTAAATGAAGTGGAAGAAGACAATGCCGTGCTTGAAATATATTGTGATGCACTTGCAGGAGGGGTTACACTTATACTTGAATATTCGACCGACATCTCTGATATACTTTTTTTGCTAGATGAATAATTCCATAACGTTGATGTTGCAGATGAATAATTCATTGATGTTACTGTTGCAGTTGAATGACTCAATGATGTTAATGGTGCAGTTGAAAGATTCAAGGAATTAGACGTTGAAGTTGGGAGTTTTAAAGAAGTGAACGTTGTAGATGGAGGGTTCAAAGAAGTCGACCCTGCGATTGGAATATTCAAGGAAGTAGACGCAGCTGTTGGAAGATTCAAAGAAGTCCATGTTGCAGCTGAATGATTCAAGGAAGTTGTTTTTACAATTGAATGAGTCAATGAAGATGGTATTGCAATTGAATAATTCAAGGAAGACATTGACATGACAAGAGAAGTTTCACTTTTACTTGGAAAATAAGTTTTGTTGTACAAACTTGAAATCATACTGTTTGATGTGCTAACTGCAGAGACTAATTCCATTGAAAATACTGACGTAGACAAAAGCCCGGACGATGAGATCCGAATAGCACCTGTTGATGATGTTTTTTCAAGTTGAAATGAGGTAGATGACACGGTCTTAATTAAACTGTCAGGAAGTGATCTTGAAATAGAAGCAAAGCCTGTTCTCGTTGTAATATCAACTGATTCTGAGGCAGGCGTATACTGTATAACGGAAGATGGGCTAATAGATAAATGTGTAACGTAGTCACTCGTTGACATGTAAGTTTGAACACTTGGTATTGAATATAAAGCTGAAGTTGAGATATACGTTACAAATGATGATGATGGTGTCATAAAGAACGATGATAAAGACAATGATGTACTATCAGTTAATGATGAAGTTGTTGATAATATACTTGAAGATATCACAGTTGGTAACACATTTTGGCATAAATCGCCAGTAAATCCATGCGGGCATATACATTGAAAACCACCAGGAATATTTGAGCAATTGGCTTCATTTTGGCACGGTTCTTCAATACAGAAGTCAATCATTTGCGCACAAGTTTTGCCCGTAAATCCATATGCACATATACAACGGAAATCAAATTCAGCATTTATACAATTCCCGTCATTTTCACACGGCGTGTTTAGGCAATAATCTACAACGTCAGCACACTGTTTTCCTGTTAAATACTCTGGACAAATGCAGACAAAATCGTCTGCAAGTGAAACACATGTTCCTAGAACACATGGTGCACTGTCACAAAAATCTACAAGCTCGTTACACGTACTTCCTGTGTATGGTAGCTTACAACTACACTGATAACCGGAAACGGTGTTCATACAAGTACCATTGTTTAAACAGGGGGCGCTTTGACAAGCGTCTATCAGATCCAGACAATGCTCTCCGGTATATGGAGTCGAGCAGAGACATCTGTATCCCCCAATAAAACTTACACAAATGCTGTCGTGAAAACATGGATTTCTCCGGCAAAAGTCGACAGCTTCGTCGCATGTAGGACCTTGGTATTCTCTAGTACAATTACACTCGAATCTGTAAAAAATAAACCATACATTATGTCAAGCTATCCTATATATTATTCAATGTTAACCAAATTTAACTTTTAAGAGTTTGAAAACTCATTAAATCTCCCTTATCTAGGGAAATATAATATCTCATTTCGTATCCGGCGCAATCAGACAGCTATGTGATATTTATATTATTTTAAAATTCAAATGCAAGAAAGAATAAACATGCACTAGTATTGTATTTGGTGGATTTAAACTCGATTTTGTTTGCATAAATATAGTCTTCAACTCCTTGCATTAAATTACTTTTTTGTTTACATGTTTAGTTTCTTAGCGTAAGTTAGACGAAAGCCCGTATCCGTTTTGTGTAGTCTTACTATTGTGTTCGATGTCCTTATCCGAAGACTGACAAGTTGCGATTTTAAATCAAACTGTAAGTTTACCCATTATGGAGATCCATGCAGTCAGCACCATTCAGACACGGGTCCGAAGCACAATCGTCTATATTATCTTGACAATTCTGACCCTGCCAACCCGGTGTACAATGACAAATATACCCGGCTGTAATATCCTCGCATGTGGAGTTGTTCTCGCAAGGCATTGACAAACACTCATTTATATTCACCTCACAATGAATTCCCATGAACCCTGAAATGAAACATGTTAAAAAGTAAAAGACTATTTGGAATAAACAACATATTTTCTTTTAGAATTTAACCTAGCAATATCTATACTAAAGTATTATTACGACCCCTTCTGAAGCACAAATTAAGGTATCTTTAAATTAGTGCTAGAAAAATAGTCCGCCTTATGCTCGGCAATTAATATAGAATTTAATTAAAGCCGCATGTTCAGAAGGTTGAGGGTAAAAGAAACACACTGATTTCAATGACTTAGAGTTGATTAACGTTGTCCTGCTGACACAACTCCGACGTTTTCTAACTCATATAGAAGCAAAATGGTTAAAAATGTTGCTGATCCAACCTGTTTGGCCCATGAATACAAGTTAATGTTTGTTTTGGTGATTTTGACCTTGGTTTTATCTACGAAATTTACACATGTCTCGTATGTTTATTATTAACTTATTGTTCTTTTCATTTATAAATGCAATCGTTGCATACACAATTCATTTCCTGAATTATATTGAATATTAACCGGATATAGACACTAGACAGTTACAAAAAGCTTAATAAGCACTTTTGCTTATTGTTCAATATGAAATAAACTAATATTATAAATTAAACCTGGTAAGCAGTAGCATCTGTATTGGCCATCAGGAGGAACAATGCAGTTTGCGTTATTTTGACACGGATTATATTCTGGCGCGCAAGGATTGAACTGAACCTCGCATAGTAGTCCGGTGTAAAATGGCGGACATCTACATTTGAATCCACCAATCACATCGATGCATTGCGCATTATTTTGGCATTCGTTGTTTTCGCATTCGTTCACTTCTTGTGAGCAATTAACACCAAACCATCCTTCCATACACTCACATCTGAATCAAAAACGAAAAGTATTCATACGGTATTTAGTTAAGCAGCTGTTTTGTACATATAAGATAATCAAGGGAAGATGTTGATAAAAACTCGTTCACGATATACTGGTCGTTTTCCCGATTAAGATCCATCCCATGATAAAAGGCACTAGCTGTTTTTCTAAATGAGTAAGAATCTTTAATGGCTACCATCTTAGTGCCTAAATTGTTCTTGGTAGCTTTCTATCTGAAGGAAAATTAATAATAATTTCAAAGGAATTTGGAGGTTACGTACATGTACCATGGAGGAACCGTACCACTGCATAAACGTACCAATTTTGGAGGTTACGTACCACATATAATTATATAGAAGTAAAGGGATAATAATTAATAAGGGATAAATTATAAAATTATAAATTATTCTTTAAATTTGTGCATTAATCGATCTCCTCTACTAACCTTCAGTAATCGATTCAAACATAAGTAAATACCTGTAAGAGTTAAAGAGATCCACACAAACTGCTCCATTTTCGCACGGCTGCCATGAAGAACACTCGTCTCGTTCCCGCTCACATAATGAACCTTCATATCCCGGTTTGCACGTGCACATGTAGCCCAAATGTAAGTCAGTACATGTTGCATTATTTTTGCAGGAATTACCTTAAATTTTATTAATGAATGAGTGAAGATAAATATTAAATGAATAATAAACTTGATGGAACTGAGCGATTATAACTTATATAAAATATCTGAAATCTTTATATGACTTTTTATTTAGGAGTACATGTAAAATGAAATATTAAGGGTCAGATTGATATATTTGTGAACTCACTGCTATACTTTTGGTAGTAGATTGTATTTTATGTTATGTAATTCACATGAAAATGTTTTCAATAGTGTTGGTAAATTAAGGAATGAAATATTGTGTTCCTTTAACCAATTCTTCAACAAATATACGCACCTATGCAGTCATCTACAGGGAAATTACAATAATCCCCCACCCATCCTGGCTCACACAGACAACTGTAATCATTGATACCGTCTATACACAGTCCATTACCAGAACAGGAAGTGAAGTTTTCAAGATCACAGTCTTCTAAATTTATCTCACACCGAGGCCCTGCAGACATAATTAAAATACTTAATATGATATGGGTTTCAAGAAAAAAAAAACATTAGAGAGCCAACACAATAGTATCAAATTAAAAACCTATAAAAGTAAATACTAAGTTAGCGCGATATCCGAATATCAGCATTTAAATAGTAACTTCTTTAGGATGTTGAGCGTAATTTATGGCTTGATTGCCGATAACACTTTTAATAAGATGTAGTTGAAACACCATTCATTCTCAGTATAAGCCAATTATATATAGTATGTATTTAAGAAATCTACTCTTATAAAATTGAAGATGACCTTATAAGTTCATTTAGTGATGCTGACAAAGACCACTTTGATTATTTATGTCTTAATTCATATTTATCAGATAAGTAAACTCCTACCCGAGAATCCAGTGATACAGTCACATACAAAACCACTGAGTGACTCGTTAAAACCGACATCATTTCTGCATAATGCCTCGTTTTCACATGGTGCGTTGTCACACGGAAGTAGTGTACAGTTGTCTCCCCTAAATGGCGGGAAACACTCGCAAGCGTAACCGTTTACGAGATCTACACATTTACCGTTCTGCAGACATGGACTTGATGTGCATTCGTCAATGTTCACCTGACAGAGAAAAAATGAATGTCTGATATTTAAAATGAAACAAAATGCATAAAGTTGTTAATAATAAAACTCGAATGATCTTAACAGAACGTCACAAGTTATTTGCAGTCCACAGCGATAGATCCTAATTGATTCTGCCAAGTTATTGATAAGTTTATTGTATTGATAAAGGTAAACGGTTACAGTGAAAGAAAAAATAAATGTGAAAAACAAACTTCGATATTTACTAAGCCGACAGTAACTGTTTAACTGTTGCGGCGTTCCATATTTTCATTTGCATATTCAGCTTCTAAGATAAGATGCCTAATGGAATCAAAATAAGTTAAAGGCCCATTATGCTGCAGCATTGATTTTATTTTCTGCTTCTCAAAATAGTGTCCAGTTATAGTGTCCAAAAAGAGTTCGTCATTGGCCAATAACATAAAAAAATTGTTTGCTTCTGTTGCTTTTTGGAAATTAGTACATAGTTACATTGTATAGTAATTACGTATTTTGTATGGAAGTCAAAATACATCTTTTTTTATATTTACTACTTTTATGACGAATAATGTCACATTCAGCGTTAATTACATCATAATACATGTTCTAATACCTTCATTAAAACGTTTAAAACACATGTTTGCCTTTTTTTAAAAGAAGGGAAAATCGTTTCTGAGGCATAATGTGCCTTTAAGCTAAATAATCTGCTATCAATTCTAGAGAAGTTACACATGTAATGCTTTACAACTTTTATAATGTTCAAAAGTTGAACATATGTGTAAATCTTTTCGAATTTTGCGGTATTGAATGTATATGATATTAATAGTTCTGGCTTCCATAACTTTAAGTATCGCTTTTATTTTGACGTTGTGCTAAACAGGTCTGGTCTAGCAGTACTATAGAACCTGTCCGCTGAAGTCTCTTTAGCTATGATACGAACCTGACATTCATTGCCCGTGAATCCCGGTAAACACGTGCACGTGTATCCTGCAACAATATCTATGCACGTGGCATTATTGCGACATGGGGAACTAATGCAGTCATCGAAATTGATTTCACAGTTTTCTCCTGCAAAACCTATGTAAAAGAAAAAGAAATTGATCTAGAATTATAATCACCCGTAATACACTGAGACAATAAATTATGGAAGACCGTTAATACAATAATGATGCTAACTGATACAGTTTAATATATTTACGATGGCGGAAGTTCCTCGGATAAAAATGTTTACCACATGAATATTTTGTATTGCAATGTATTACAAATTCCAAAAAAGGCAGCTTGCACTTATTAGAGTTAAGTTTAGCGCATGTCAGACTATATATTAGCTACACTGTGTTTAAGAATTTACGAGCTCAACATCAAAATTACAAAAATCGTGTCCTTGAAATCTTATGGCGATTTTATCAATGAACAACAGTGGCGCTACTTAAAAGCTACACTGTATCTTAAAGCCACACTAACTAAACACTTCATATGGAAAACAAACTAGGACATAATAATATGTCCGTGAGTTAACGGAAATGCATGTTATTGAAGCAAATGAAAGTCTTCCCGGCAAAGGCAAGATTGGTGATCATTGTATTATTTATGCGGAATTTTACCTCATTATAGCTTTGGCAAAACAGCATTGAAACCGCGATATTCACTGTAGAACAAAAGTCCGTTTAAAGATAGACCACTTAAATAACTCGATGAATTTTGTTTGAAGAAGTTGAATCTCTTAAATTCTGTATATGTTACAACTGTATTACAAAAAGCTTTCAAGTGTTTACAAACCGTCTACACAGAAACATCGGTAACCATCTTCCGTATCCTCACATAGTGCATTGTTCTTACACGGAAGACCAGCACACGTGACTTCTTGACACTGTATGGGAATTGCTGAAAATACAACATACAGTCTTTCTCATTCTAAAAATACAATGTTTTTTGAAGAAATTTAATTATGCTTTGAAAAATCTAAATACGCGATTACATGAATACGGACGCCTACAGAAATCATCATTAACTAGAATAAGTGTCATTCGTCCATTATAAAATTCCTAAATTATATTCTTAAAACAAGCTACTATAGTATGCGTTCAACCAGACGCCCTACATATTAGAAAAGTGAAAGCGTACTTGAAAATTGACGATTTTTCTCCGTAACAATGAGGGTCAAGATTTTAATAATGGATGGATAACCTTAAGAAATTAAAGTTCAAATGATTATTTCATTCATTAAATAAGTTGCGCTATCCTGATTGATTTAACAAACTTACCATTATACGTAATTAAAATCCACACCATTCCGAAAATAATCATTTTCGTACTTTAACGTCATTCTTCATTTCGAATATTAACTACCATTTCACAAAATTGAATTATTTCCTCGTGCAGTACATGCAATTTGTAGTAAATGAAGTTTTCATGCGCGTGCAAAAGTACTCGCGTTTTATTGGTCATTTTTCACATTTTCTATCCAAGTTTCTTGCAACAGCTAACAATTATCTTTGCGCAAACTTCAATATGTTGGGTATGTTTTCTCGAAACGAGTAAAATAGTACTTATATAATTCCTTTAATTTCCTATCACTCTTCGAAGGACATTTGAGTTTTACTTCAAACTATGTTCCTCATATTGATTAAATTCGTTTGTTACACAAGAAAACAAATCCATCGCATTAACATCTAATGCATTGCACACGTTTCTTTACAAATAATCTTTAAAATAGGCCTACTGTATATTGCTTGACTAGAAATTGTTTTACTTCGTTTCTTTTCTTTTAACAGATTCTTTTCATATACACCATTGCAATATTATGTAAATACAATGATAAATTCCAGTTCCTATTCATCAAATGCTCACAACTTGATAATAGCAAATAAATAAGTCTCCATATTGTTTATATGTAAATAATAACACTTTTATTTTATCAAATATAAATCGCGCTACAACGCTACGAAATTGCCGATGTATTCGGGCTAAGAAATCATTAATGTATTTAAAGTCATTCCATATGCAGAAAAAAACTGATACAATAAATCCCGCTTTCCTTGTGTTTATCAAAGGCGCTAAATTGATTACAGATTTTCTAAATAACTTGATAAATAATTCTGTATATACATCTGTAACGTTGTTGGGGTTTAAATCAATGCTGGTAAATATTTTATAGAAAGGAGATTATTCATCATGGAATGCAACATCTTGCACGCACGCCGGTCAATATTTGGTCATATGACATTCTATAAAATCAGGTACGTATATTAATATACGTACCTGATAAAATATATATTGCACGCTTGCCGGTCAATATTTGCTCAAATGACATTCTATAAACTTGAACAGGTCAATATTTGATCAAATGACATTCAATAACATGTATATTGTACTTGAAACAGGTCATTATTTGGTTATATGATATTCTATAAAATAATATTGCACGCTTGCCTGTCAATATTTGCTCAAATGACACTCTATAAACTTGAACAGGTCAATATTTGATCATATGACATTCAATAACATGTAAAATGTACTTGAAACAGGTCAATATTTGGTCATATGACATTCTATAAAATGTATATTGTACTTGAAACAGGTCATTATTTGGTCATATGATATTCTATAAAGTATATATTGCACCAACGCCGGTCAATATTTGCTCAAATGACATTCTATAAACTTGAACAGGTCATTATTTGATCATATGACATTCTATAAAATGTATATTGTACTTGAACAGGTCAATATTTGGTTCACATGACATTCTATAACATGTGTATTGTACTTGAAACAGGTCAGTATTTGGTCATGACATTCTATAAAATGTATATTGTACTGGAACAGGTCAATAATTGGTCATATGACATTCTATAAAATGTATATTGTACCTGAACAGGTCAATAACGGCCATGTGACACATCTTGCACGCACGCCGGTCAATATTTGGTCATATGACATTCTATAAAATGTATATTGTACTTGAATCAGGTCAATATTAGGCCATATGACAGTCTATAAAAATGTATATTGTACTTGAACAGGTCAATAATGGTCGTGTGACACATATTGTACCCACATCGATTAAAATGTTCAAATAACACAATAATTTATACAAAAGGTCAAAATATATTTGTCATACCATACACTTATTGCCAGAAACATTGATCATTAAGTACACAAATTGTACATCTATGTCAAAAGATGTTGGTCGTGGTGATGCATTTTTTTCACTGTGAGGGCCCTTATTTTAAAGTATTTTCCAAAAAAAAATGGGGGTTCACTGCCTACCCCGGGGCGAAAAACAACTATACAGTTTTTTCCCCCGGGTTCCCCGGCGGTAAAACCCCATTGGGGGAATTTTCCAATCACAGTTTAAACAAATCGTTCCCAAAGTTGCCCTTCCCCTTTCGCAAGGAAAATGATTACTCTGTTTCCCTTTCCAGGGGCAGAGGACAATGCCAAATGACCGTAAAAGATTTTAAGAATCATCACAAAAGAAAGGCCTGGGACCCCTCTGGGAAACAAAACCCCGGGGCCCCCCAATTCACACTCCAACCCCTCTATATTCTGAGCTTTCCCGGGCGGTTTGACAGACAAAGACTGCAACACACCCGCTTTTTTCACAAACAAAACAAGTTTTATTTCACACTTTCCCCGGGGGCATAATTTTTTTATGATTTTCAATGTTGGGGATTTTAAAAATATTTAATAAAATTTATCCATTTGTTTCTCCATTTTTCATTTTTCTTTTTGAAAAAAAAGTAAACTTTCAAAAAAAAAGGGATATTTTTGCAAAATTTCTTTAACCCTATTTTTCATGTATTTCTAAAAAAAACAAAAAATTTTTCCAGTTTATTAAAAATAATTCAAAACTATAAAATTTCCTTTTTTCAATCACCGACAAATAAAACCTTTAAAAAAATTTGGAAATTTAAACATCAACTTTTAAGCCCGTAAAAAATTTAATTTTTTAAAACTTAAAAAAAGTAATACTTTAAAAAAACCCGTTTTATCCCCAAATTTTATAGACTTGTCAAAGGAAAATCAAAATTCTTGGGCGGGTAAGCTTTTTTTTTCCCAAACCGGTTTTACAGTATTTAAAAAAACAAAAAAGGGCCCGATGCCCTAAATCGCCCCACCTGTTTTAAAGGCCCCCCGGGGGGGCTTAATTTTAAAACCCAGGGGGTTTTATTTAAAAAAACTGGTAGATCCCCTTTTTAAGAGTTTTATGATAAATACTAACTCCCACTCTAAAAAAATCTTTAAGTTTTTTACCCAAACCACATATAAGTGAAAAACAAAGACCCAAAACCCTCCTGGCCCGGGGGAATTTGTCCCCCGGCTTTTTTGAACAAACTGGTAAACACTTCCCCTAGAAAATTTTTTCCCGTTAATATCTAAAATCCCATCTCTTGCTTTTTAACCCGAAACCAATTTTTTCAGTTTTTACCCCATATACATAAAAGGGAAAAACAATATCCGGGGGGCCCGGGGCCCAATTTTTTAACCCCGGGCCCCTTTAAAAAAACAAAAAAAGGGGACATCCATTAAAAGATGTTTCATGCTAAATATCTTAGCTCTACCTTTTAAGATTTTTTTAAAAGAAGATTTTTTATGTTTAACTTATATACATAAAAGGAAAAACAATGACCCCCTGGGGCGGGGCCAATTTTGACCCCAGGGCTTTTTATTTGAACAAACTTGTTAGACACCCACTAGAAGAGGTTTCATGCTTAATAGCTAAGCTCTACCTCTTTGGGTTTTTTAAAAGAAGATTTTTTTAAGTTTTTTACTATATGCATATAGGGTAAATCAATGACCCCCTGGGGCAGGGCCAAATTTGACCCCAGGGCTTTTATTTGAGCAAACTTGGTAGACACCCATTAGAGGATGTTTCATGCTAAATATCTTAGCTCTAGCTCTTTGGGTTCTTTAAAAGAAGATTTTTTAAGGTTTTACTATATGCATATAGGGAAAATCAATGACCCCCTGGGGCAGGGCCAATTTTGACCCAGGCTTTTATTTGAACAAACTTGGTAGACACTGGCTAGAAGATGTTTCATGCCACATATTTAAGCTCTACCTCTTTGGGTTTTTTAATAGAGATTTTTTAAGGTTTTACTATATGCATTTAGGGTAAATCAATGACCCCCTGGGGCGGGGCCAAATTTGACCCCAGGGCTTTTATTTGAACAAACTTGGTAGACACCCATTAGAGGATGTTTCATGCTAAATATCTTAGCTCTAGCTCTTTGGGACTTTTAAAAGAAGATTTTTTAAGGTTTTACTATATGCATATAGGAAAAAAATCAATGACCCCCTGGGGCGGGGCAATTTTGACCCAAGGGCTTTTATTTGAACAAAACTTGGTAGACACTGACTAGAAGATGTTTCATGCCAAATATCTAAGCTCTACCTCTTTGGGTTTTTTAAAAGAAGATTTTTTTAGGTTTTACTATATGCATATAAGGTAAATCAATGACCCCCTGGGGTGGGGCCAATTTTGACCCCCAGGGCTTTTATTTGAACAAACTTGGTAGACACCCATTAGAGGATGTTTCATGCTAAATATCTTAGCTCTAGCTCTTTGGGTTTTTTAAAAGAAGATTTTTTAAGTTTTTACTATATGCATATTGGGAAAATCAATGACCCCCTGGGGCGGGGCCAATTTTGACCCCAGGGCTTTTATTTGAACAAACTTGGTAGACACTGACTAGAAGATGTTTCATGCCAAATATCTAAGCTCTACCTCTTTGGGTTTTTTTAAAAAAGAAAAATTTTTTAAGGTTTTACTATATGCCTATAGGGTAAATCAATGACCCCCTGGGGCGGGGCCAATTTTGACCCCAGGGCTTTTATTTGAACAAACTTGGTAGACACCCATTAGAGGATGTTTCATGCTAAATATCTTAGCTCTAGCTCTTTGGGACTTTTAAAGAAGATTTTTTAAGTTTTACTATAATGCATATAGGGAAAAGTCAATGACCCCCTGGGCGGGGCCAATTTTGACCCCAGGGCTTTTATTTGAACAAACTTGGTAGACACTGACTAGAAGATGTTTCATGCCAAATATCTAAGCTCTACCCCTTTGGGTTTTTTAAAAGAAGATTTTTTTTAAGGTTTTACTATATGCATATAAGGTTAAATCAATGACCCCCTGGGGTGGGGCCAATTTTGACCCCAGGGCTTTTATTTGAACAAACTTGTAGACACCCATTAGAGGATGTTTCATGCTAAATATCTTAGCTCTAGCTCTTTGGTTTTTAAAAGAAGATTTTTTAAGGTTTTACTATATGCATATTGGGAAAATCAATGACCCCCTGGGCCGGGCCAATTTTGACCCCAGGGCTTTTATTTGAACAAACTTGGTAGACACTGACAAGAAGATGTTTCATGCCAAATATTCTAAGCTCTACCTCTTTGGGTTTTTTAAAAGAAGATTTTTTTAAGGTTTACTATATGCCTATAGGGTAAATCAATGACCCCTGGGGGGGGGGCAATTTTTGACCCCAGGGCTTTTATTTGAACAAACTTGGTAGACACCAATTAGAGAATGTTTTTCATGCTAAATATCTTAGCTCTAGCTCTTTGGGTTCTTTAAAAAGAAGATTTTTTTTAAGGTTTTACTATATGCATATAGGGAAAATCAATGACCCCCTGGGGCGGGCCAATTTTGACCCCAGGGCTTTTTATTTGAACAAATTTGGTTTTAGACACCCATTAGAGGATGTTTCATGCTAAATATCTTAGTTCTAGCTCTTTGGGTTTTTTAAAAGAAGATTTTTTAAGGTTTTACTATATGCATATAGGGAAAATCAAGGACCTCCTGGGGCGGGGCCAATTTTGACCCCAGGGCTTTTATTTGAACAAACTTGGTAGACACTGACTAGATGATGTTTCATGCCAAATATCTAAGCTCTAGCTCTTTGGGTTTTTTAAAAGAAGATATTTTAATTTTTTTCTTTCGGTTGCCATGGCAACCAGAGTTCTGCATGGAATTAAATTCTTTGAACAATTTTTAAAGGTGACCACCAAAGGAACATTCCTGTGAAGTTTGGATGAAATTGGCCTAGTGGTTTATGAGGAGATGTTATTTAAAGTAAAAGTTTACGGACGACGGACGGACGGACGGACGGACGCCGGACGAAAAGCGATC